ACCATGCCAATTCAACCCACTCCACAGAACACACATCAACTTCACTGTGGCTTACATTAACATAACACTAACACAACATGCAAATCAAACACATAGGAACTAGCAGAACGATAGAAAACACAGAGACAACACAATACCCAGAATGCACCTGGCTAACAACCCCAGCCAGGTCATTACAATATGTTTTACTCATAATCTTCACAATTCCTCCTTTGATCTCTTTTCTCAAAGAGATCACTTACAACACGCACTCCAGGGTCGCAAGGTCCAGTTCTCCCCCATCCTCAGACCCATCTTTCAACAGAGGCATCATGACCCCCGAGGCTATGGCCCTGTCAATGAGACGGATTACCAGTGCTCTGAGGCAAGGGATGAAACAGCAACCACATGTTGTTAAGACTGCAGTAAAAACAGACAGTGAGACCATGATTGACATAACAAAACCTTTCCATTGCCCAAAAACAGAAGTCATCCATTCCTCCAGCGGGTTCTCAATACCTGAGTGTTCATGCATATTATGGGCCAAAGTCCGCAGCCCCTCCAGTGCCTTGGTTATCGAGCCATCTGGAGCAGTATTATTGGGAATAAACGTACAACACATTTGTCCGAACATTGCACAAACCCCCCCTTTTTCCGCCAGAACCATGTCCAGAGCCATCCGGTTCTGCACTGCCATTAAAGAGGTGGGACCTAATTGCTCTGCTAACCCCTCAATCGCATCACGAGTCAGATTTGCCAGCCGGAGAACGTTATAATGCACATAGTTAATTCTATCCACGTTTTTGTTGGGGGTGACGGGAAAGAAGGCAGAAATCACTGGGATGTTTTCAAAACCGGCTGCTATCTGATCTACTAATTTATACTCATTGGGGACGCCGCGCGGAACACCAATAGAATCTATATACGTGGGTGAATTAGCAGTTAGATCAAACGACCAAGAAGATCCTTTAGACAGTACCTGACGTCTGCGCCTAATTGTGAGTCACGCATTACCATTTGTCACCACGGGTTTAACTTTCCGCCACACAATCAGACACATTTTGCTCTTTTGCATTTGCAATCAGCCAATCCAACCACAGGTTGCTGTCCACATACCCTGTGGCACGGGACATCAGCTGTCGGGGTTTCCATTTCGTATAATCCACTTTTGTTACCTTAGAACCAGAAGTGGGGGCTCCCACAGGTGCAGTATTGTTGCTGGATACATTACTGGGTGGATCTATAAAATTTATCTTTATCACGCCCATCGGGTCCCTCCCAGAAACGTCTACGCCTAACATTACATAGAACACTTTATCGGCTTTCCTGTTTCGCTGAGGTGTAACCCGCCACCCACCAATAGACATTGTAATTGGATTTTGACTGTGAGTATAATCACGCTGGATTGCAAACCCATGCCTCCATCGGCCCGGTGAGTCCCACCCTGGGGCGGTGTAGGCTGTCACCATATCCCACACCGGACACGGGTAACGCCCCAAGATGGTGGGATGACCTATAATATAAGTACCAGTTTTTTGCAGGTCATGACATATCCAAACTTCATACCCCCGCCAACTAGCTCTATCATCCCCACATTTTATCACGGAGCAGAGATCAAAAGTGAAGGCTGTAGTGGATCCTCTAATGTAATCCACCTCTATGCCTCCGAAGTGCGACAAACAAGGATCCGATCTCTCACCTACGTCGCGCTCAGCTCTGGTCATCTCAGGGTCCGCTAGAGGAAGAGGTGTTGGATGAGTTCTGAAGCTGGGCAATTCACATAGCAGAAAAACAATCGTTAGTACACCAATGATGATTATAGTTAACACTCCCATTACCCCCCAGTTTTCCCAAAGCTTTATTTTCTCATTTACTTTTCCCACCCCCATTTTCAATAATACCTAAAAATGCTAGACTAGGGCTTCTATCTAAGGCGTTTCTATTTTTATTATTGTTGCCGCTATCTATCTCTTCCAGTCGGGTGATTCTTGACTTCTTTCTTCAGCCTCCGGGGTAGACCACCCTTTGGTCGTTGCACAGATCAGGGGATTATTCTGCCCCTTTTTTGCTAAGATCTGTGTTTTTTGTGGGGACTGACGTGTCCTCCTTTTTCCCCAAAAGCCTCTTGGACCGCCTGGGCTCCTCTGCTGCCACGCACTGGCTCCAGTGATACCAGGTGTCACCTTTCCCCTTCAGCTGGACCGCGTGAGAGGTTCGAGTGGTCACCTCGAAAGGTCCCGTCCACCTCGGCTCGTCCCACTTCCGCTTATACACCTTCAGCCACACCCACTTCGCCTCTGGCGTGGTCACCTCCTTTCCAGTTGGGTCTCCCACCTGCGTAGTAAAACTAGAGACAAGAGCTTTTAGTGCTTTAAACTGTTTCAGATGTTCAGACACATTTACCTCCTCTCTTAATTCTCTTACACCTGCTGCAGGGCCTGGAAATTGTCTTCCTGTCATCAGTTCATATGGAGTGAACCCGGTGTGCTGATTAATGGCGCACCTTACACTCATTAGGGCTATAGGAAGAGTGTCAACCCAATTCATATTTGTCTGTGCACAGATTTTTGCCAATTTGTTTTTAAGATTTTGGTTCATTCTCTCCACTTTTCCCTGAGATTGTGGATGGTAAACTGTACCATATCTATGTTGCAACCCCAACATACATTCCACCTCAGCGAGATCTCGATTTTTAAAGTGAGTGCCATTATCTGATCTTACCTTCTCTGGGAATCCATGCCAGGGGACATAATAATTCACCAGACATTTGATCACTGTTTTACTATCCTCTCTGCGTGTTGGCCACGCCTCTGGCCAGCCGGTCAGAGCATCCACACACTGGATGCCCTTCCAGTGTTCCTGATTTCTCCACATGCAGCTGGTTTCTGACTCCTTTCACCACTGCATAACCTGTTTTCAATCCTTCACTCGGATCCCTAAAACAACATCCGTCTGTGAAATAATCATCTGCCTCATTCACTGGTTCTGCTCTCAAATCAGACCTTACTTTCTCCTCAACCTCTACTATTTGTGCACAGTCATGAGGTGTCCCCCCTCCCATCTGATCTGCCATGTTAATCCCTTCATGTGTGAAGGTCAAGTTTGGAGACTCCAGAATTTTAGTCAGTCTCTGTTGTCTCAGTGGGGTCATTGTAAATGCCTGTGAATTCACATAGGCCACCACACTGTGTGTTGTTAGCACTTTCAGTGGGTGCCCTCTCACAACGTGAGCCACTTTCTGAATTATTTTTGTCACCCCTGCTGCATGTTGTGTGCACGTGGGGTGTCTTTTTTCCATATTGTCCAGGCCAATGCTGATATACATCAGCACTCGTCTCTTTCCCCCTTTTTTCTGAAACAACACACCATTAACCACTCCATTTGTTTCAGAAACATCAACAAAGAAATCAGAGTTATAATCGGGGATTGCCAAATCTACTGCACGAAACAGGGCCTGTTTTAGTTCAATGAACCGCATTTCAGCCTCAGTGGTCCAGTTCAGACTAGCTGTGAGGTCTCTCATGCCGTGTTCTTTCACCAACTCCCGCAGAGGTTTGGTTTTGCCCACATAGTCAGAAATGTAGTGTCTACTGTAACCTGTAAGCCCAAGAAATGACAACATTTCTTTAACAGTACATGGCTGTGGGTGTGACATAATTGTTTCCCTCTGGGATGCCAACATGCCCACCGTCTGCATCGCCACCACCCGACCTAAAAATGTAACTTCAGTTCTGACAAGTTGAAGTTTGTCTCTACTTACTTTGAAGCCTGTTTTAGCCAGCTGACATCATCATCGTCATCGTTGCTTGAAAGCAAGCATCAGCTGTTTCAGCAGCAATCAGCAAATCATCCACATACTGGATCAGTGTGCATCCTTCAGGTAATACACATGGAGAAAGAGCATTTTTAAGTACCTGATTGAAAATCCCAGGTGAAAGGGCAAAGCCCTGAGGCAACCGAGTGTAACGCAGCTGCTGACCCCTGTAAGTAAATGAAAAAATATCTCTCAAAGATGGATGCAGAGGGAGACAAAAGAAAGCATTTGCCAAATCTATGCATGTGAACCACCTCTGATCTGGAGATAAATTAGTCAAAGCAGTGTAGGGATTTGGTACAGGTACTGTTGGTGTCTTAAGGACAGCGTTTATTGCCCTAAGGTCATGTGCCATGCGATACTTGCCCGTGCCTGATTTTTCAACTGGGAGGATTGGAGTATTCCATGCAGAGGAAGACGACTCCAGCACACCCACCTGCAGGAGCCCTGAAATTGTTTCTGCAATCCCATTCTCCGCCTCTAGACTGTGTCTGTATTGTGAACGCCAAATAGGAGTGTCATCTTTTAACTCAAATGTAACAGGTGAACAAAATGTTAAACCCACATCAGTGGGACCTTTAGACCACAAAGTGTCAGGGAGTTCTGCTAGGCCTTTAACAGCTTCCTCGTGATCTGATTTCTCCCTGCCATGTGTTCGCTTCAGATGTTTATGTTCTAAAACACTCTGATCAGTAGCTGTCACAGAAATTCGATACGTTTTACAACTGGGTGAGTATGAGACATCAGTGAGCTGTGTTTGCTGCCAATCTGTGGCCCTTGTGGCTGTTCTCACCATTGGGCCTAAATCTTTTGCTTGATGACCCTCATGTACTGCCAAAGACACGTGGGGAACCGCTTCATCTCCCATTCTATACCAACTCATTTGATCTCCAGAGAGCGCCACAAACGCTGCCACTCCAGCTGGACCAACATAAATGTCCTGAGAGTTAAGCTCCCAAGCTTTCTCATCTAAACACTCATTAAACAGATCCTCAAACCACTCAGTATGCTCGCGATCGTAAAACAAGGTCACGTGGTAGGGGTCACGCGGGGGTGAATAAACAGACATGGACATTATCCAGGGATGCCAGAGTATGTACTGTGCCAGAATTCCATCTGATGTGTTCAGTCTCGCCCAGTAAATCTGCGCTGTGCGTTCACAATCCTCAGATAACAGCCACTGTCCCCTTATTCCTGATTGCAAACAGGACAGCCGTGTGCCATCTTTCAAAGTCACTGTTAATCCATCAGCTCCACACATGATAGTAGCTCCAAGCTTAATGAGCAGGTCCCTGCCCAATAAATTAACTGGAACTTGTGAGGAAACCATGTATGAATGTGTTAAGGACTGACGTCCTAGCTCAGTCTTTAGAGGGGCGGTTACTGGCAGGGTCATAGGTACCCCAGAGAAGCCGATCACACTGATTCTGGTGTCTGACAGTGGAATGTCTTCAGGAGCAGTACGAATGGTGGAGTATGTTGCTCCTGTGTCCACTAAAAAGGGCAGGTTACGTCCTTGAACCCTCAGTGGCACCAGGGGGTCTGCCCCTCCCCCTATGCCCAGGCCTCTCTGTGGGGTGTGTCAGTATTGTTCCTGCTGCCAGTATTCCACTGAATACTGCCCTGGAGGAGCCATCTGTGAGTTGGGGGCCGTCCAACGCCCGCGCCCCCTTGTGGCCGGACGTGGCATGTTGTACTGCTGAGGCGGGTCAGGGCACTCTCGAGCCCAATGTCCAGTCTGACCACAGTTGTAACACGCAGTCCCTGGCACATATGGACCTCCTCTAAGCGCACCCCTTTGTCTGCCCATGCCGCCGCCTCCTCCCCGTTGACCACCACGTGAACCCCAATTTCCTCTACCGACCCCACGGCCACCCCAATTTATGCCTCGCGCAGATCCCTGCGTGTCTACTGGCAATACATTAGGATCAACATCTGTCCCCATTTGCTGGTAACCTTGAGCTACCATTACTTTTGCTATTTTTTCCTCCTTTTTCTTATCATTTGCCTTACCCCTCATTTCACCCAGCTGTAATTTCAACAATTGCTCTTTCATATTATCTGTATCCTCACTTTTAGCCATAACCTCATCATGAGCTTTCTGCAGGCGATGCACCAGATGTTTCTCCCACACGTGAGACTCCGCCCCCTCCATGTCGGGGTTATCTGTCATGGCCACTCTGACCTGTTCAGGCACACCTTTTAACACAGCTTCTCTAAACCACAATTGTTGCATCCCCTCTCTACCAGGATGCTGACCAGTGCTAAGGGCCCACGTAGCTTTAGCCTGTTCTATGTACTCCCTTGGAGTTTGATCAGGCTTCCACAACAGCTTCAAAATCTTAGCAGCATTTGGAGTGGGATATTTTCACGTAATGCATTTGATATTTCATTCACACACGCAAAATGGGGTGCTATCAACCAACAATGCGTGACCTGCTAGCTTCTTCTATATCATCCAGGCTGTGCCTTTGACACATCTGGCAACCACGAGCTCTCGAAATCACCTAGGGCCAATTGAACACCTGTTGTTGCTCTTCAAACTCTCTCAACCACCCCGCACCTCCGTCTGTAATAGGAGGTAATAACTCAGATCAATGCAGTTAACATCTCCCACTCCCGTATGGCTTGTATTTCATGTGACCCCCAGCGGTCACCACCAGGGGGAAGTCCCCGGCAAAGACAAAGTGTCCCTGATCCTTCCTGGCTTGCGACGCACATGGGTGTGGTTTGTTTCCGGTTTGGGCTTGACTACTCTGCCTCTTCCTGCATTTTTCTCTAGCTACTCCATTCTGAAAGGCCCCTTCTAGCTCCGGCCCTGCATCTAATTTCTGCTTTTCCCAGACACTTACTGGCGTATTATCATCCAGTGTGCCGGATAACCAGCCCTCGTATGCGTCCCCATCAGGCCCGCACACCTCACCTTTCTCAACCTGTGGTGCAACAACTACTCCACTTCCTGCCTCCTCATCAGAAATTTGATGACGCTGCTCTAGAGTTATTATAGCTGTTTCAAGCAGCCGCACAGCCCGCTCTTCTTCAGTCTCTACCTGCTGGGGAGACTGTTTCATGGGCGGTGACTGCACTCCGCCACAAGCTCCCTCCTCATTAACAAAAGTGGAGCTTTGTTTTATTCTTTCACTCTTCGGGGCTGGAGTAGGTCGTTTGGGCTCTTTAGATATATCACAATCTACATAGCCTCCTGTAACTTCTAAGACTTGGCCATTCTCACCAGAGAGACAGCCCTGCTCCACCCTCAGCACAGGGTAAAGGGGGGCGGGGGCCTGATAGGGAGGAGGAAAGCCAGTGAGCGATGACTTCACCGGAGAAGCCGGCAGCATCAGCTTCTCAGGCTCCTCCCTTCTCTCCCTCATCCAGTGCTCCACCCCCTGGCATGTCACAGCCCACCTTGTTACGCGGGCTTTCTCCTCCTGCACCTCCTGCAACTGTTTTTTAATCCTCCGCCTTGTCCACAAAGAGGCCTCCTCTAACTGTGTACTAATCTCCTGCTCTTCTTCCTGGAGCTTCTGTGCTATTCCCAGAAGCAATTTTGCCAATGAACCTCTTGATTCTCCTCTCACTCCTTCCTTATCACTCAACTCTTTGACTTTTGCTGCCACAGCTGCAGCCTTTGATTTTTTCTCACACGCGCTGCCAGGTCGCATGACCCTCAGCGCCCGCAACAACTCCTTCACCTGCTCGTCAAAAGTTTTCCACTCACCCTGCATTTCTCCTCTTTCTACGTCAGGTTTAAGACCCGACATATTCACACCACCACACACTTCTATTACTTTTTTAAATGTTTACACCACAGAGTTATACACCCAATTATGCCCGTCTATCTCTATGTGGCTCCAAATTCCCTCTTTATTTTAATTTCACACTCGTCAGGGGACAGGCACACAACAATTTCAACCACTGAAACGAGGAATTTAACCTTTTTATTTCTTTACTAATCTAGACTCAACCTTTGTTCGCAAAATGTGTCTTGTTCTAGTCCAGAATAAATGTGAACCCGTGGTTACACGGTCGTTCCAGTGTTATTCTGTAGCTATGCGGGGGTCCTCACCTCCCCAAGTCACCACCTCGGCATCCGGACGCCGCCGGGCCTGCCCGCGCATCCACGAACAGGAGGGTCGCCACACCTAGGACAAAATTATTTTCCACAGGTACACTAGACATCAACCTTTGATCCTAAAATGTGTCTTTGCTCTAGTGTCCTCCTATTCAAACACATCAACCGTCACTGTCACTGTGCTTCACGCTTCACACTCACAGAAAACACACTCAGAGCGCGCCTCACTCACACTCAAAACAGCACCCAGAGCGCACCTTACACACAAAACAGCACCCAGAGCGCGCCTTACACACAAAACAGCACCCAGAGCGCGCTTCGCAGCTTCACACACCCACTCAGAGCGCGCCTTTCACACACAGCACTTTTCCTCAGCGGAACTTTACACAGAAACTTCTGAGCTCAACTGTTAGAAATCTTTAAAGCACAACTGCACCATAGACCAAAATACCCTTTTCTCTGCGCCTATGACCGCCACCACGGGGCAAAATCGCATCATAAAAGTGACACTCGTCCCCGAGGCTCAAAACCGACACCATAAGCCAGGTTCTGCTTTACCTTTATTTCATGGCAAGTAAAATTTTACTTATTGTTTATGACCGCAGCCCTCGAGGCAAAAACCGACACCACAAATCACCGTCAAACCTCAATTCAATGTACTGAAATCATCACCAATCGCTGCTGTACTCACGGCCGCACCACCGGAACACGGTCGTATCTTAAACCAAAACCTACGGACGTGTTTCGCTTTCACACGTTGCCAGCGTTCAACCGCACCGTAAGCCAGCAGCTGCTTTTCCTTATTTCTATACTAATTTCATGGCCGCCTCAACAAAGACTCAAACCGACGTCATAACCAACTTCAAAACCTCTACTCAATGTACTGGACTTATGGCCGCGTCTCCAGAAGAAATTCTAATATATTATTGCTACAGAAGCCAGTCTTAGACAAAATTAAATGTGGAAGGTAAAGTGG